AATTTCGTCCCCGAAATTAAGCATAAGTTTTAAACAAAAACAGGTTTTCCTTAATTTTCCAACAATATGACATTACGATATTTAAAGTAACCTGACCCAATACCGGTCATTCCATCTCTTAGCAAGAGGCATCTCGCAATATATAAAACAACATATATTTCAGTATGTATTATAAATATGCATTTCCTTTCAATTCAACAATATTTTCTACATACACAATATTCCATTAAACTTCCATTATAAGGCAAGTTTCAAAATACTTCCATCAACCAAAAACATAAACCATGTTTCACAACCTAAGTTATATTTAATACACTTAAGGTTCAATATTACAAATAAATAACATATGCTCAAGCATCTACAAACAGATCCGGATATTTCTCGCGGACTTCCAACTCACGTTCCCAAGTGGCTTCCTCTACTCCGTGATGCTTCCACAGAACTTTTACCAAAGGGATGGTTTTGCCTCGCAAAACTTAGTCCCGCTTATCCAAGACCCTAACCGGTCTCTCCTCATACGAGACATCCTCGTCAACTACTAAATCGGTCCAATCCAACACATGTGATGGATCCGGCTCATACTTCCGAAGCATACTCACATGAAACACGTCATGTACTCCGGACAACTGCGGTGGTAAAGCTAAACGATAAGCAGCCTCGCCAATCCTCTCAAGGATCTCAAAAGGACCAATGAACCGAGGGGACAACTTCTCGCTCTTCCCAAACCTCATCAATCCCCGCCTTGGTGATATCTTCAGAAAGACATGATCACCCACCTCGAACACCAAAGGTCTCCTCATACGGTCGGCATAAGATTTCTGACGACTCTGGGTTGTAACAAGCCTCTTACGGATAAGCTCAACTTTCTCCGTCGTTTCCCTCACTAACTCCGGACCCAACAGCGGTGCATCACCCACCTCGGCCCAACAAACAGGAGATCTACACGGTCGGCCATACAAGGCCTCAAATGGTGCCATATCGATACTAGACTGGAAACTGTTGTTGTAGGCAAACTCCACTAATGGCAAGTGGCTCTCCCACGACCCGCTAAAGTCAAGAGCACAACCTCGAAGCATATCCTCAAGGATCTGAAAAGTACGCTCGGACTGCCCATCAGTCTGAGGATGATAAGCTGTGCTAAAGGTCAACTTAGTGCCTAAGGCACTCTGCAAGCTCTGCCATAATCTAGCAGTAAAACGAGGATCTCTGTCTGAGATGATCGTCACTGGGACCCCGTGCAACCTCACTATGTCCCGAATGTACAAGTCGGCAAGGTGATCTACCGAATCTCTAACGCGCATAGGGATAAAGTGCACCGACTTAGTCAACCGGTCTACAACCACCCAAATAGCGTCACAACCTCGCTGAGTCCTCGGAAGACCTACAACAAAGTCCATAGTGACATGCTCCCACTTCCACTCGGCAATAGGCAAGGGTTGCAACAAACCCGCTGGCCTCTGATGTTCGGCCTTTTCTTGCTGACAAGTAAGGCACTTAGACACGAAAGTTGCCACATCTCTCTTCATACCCCGCCACCAAAACTGGCGACCCAAATCCTAATACATCTTAGTACCTCCCGGATGCACTGCAAGGCGTGAATGATGGAACTCTCGGAGTACATCCTCTCGGCAAGACTCTGGCACAAACAGACGGTCTCGGTATCTCACACTCAGGTCGGAATACACCGTCAAACCCTTCTCAACCTTCCCACTGGAGATCTTCTCTCGGAGGGATTCTACCTCAAGGTCACCTCTCTGTGCCTCTAACACTCGAGTCACAAGTGTAGGCTGCGCAACAACAGAAAACAAGGCCGCAGCCTCAACGGATTCGCCCAGAAGCAAATCAAACTCCCTAAGTGCACCCAACATCTTCCACTCCCGAATGGCTATACTAGCTATGTCACCAACAGGTTTCCTGCTAAGGGCGTCAGCCACCACATTGGCCTTTCCCGGATGATAATGCAACTCGAAGTCATAATCCTCAATGAACTCCATCCACCTCCTCTGCCTCAAGTTCAAGTCTTTCTGTGTAAACAGATATTTCAGACTCTTATGATCCGAGAATACCTCGAACCTCTCACCATAAAATAATGCTCCAAATCTTCAGACAAAATCACGCTAGCTAACTCAACGATACATCGAGAGTAATTTTGCTCGTGAATTTTCAACTGTCGTGAGCCATAGGCAACTACTTTCCCTTCTTGCATCAACACACAACCCAGACCCTCTCGTGAGGCGTCACAATAGATTGCATAACCCACCCCTCTCTCCGGAATAATCAAGACTGGAGCAGTGGTCAGTCTAACTTTCAACTCCTGGAACAACTTTTCACAAGTCTCACTCCAAACAAATTTGACTCCCCTCCGAGTCAATCTAGTCAAAGGCGAAGCTAACCTAGAGAAATCCTTCACAAATTGGCGATAATACCCAGCTAATCCTGGAAAACTGCGTATCTCAAACACACTCTTAGGCTGTGCCCACTCTTGCACTGCCTCCGTCTTGGATGTATCAACAGACACCCCTTCCCCAGAAACTACATGGCCTAAGAACTTCACCTCTTCTAGCCAGAACTCACACTTCCCAAACTTAGCATAAAGCTTATGGGCTCTAAGTAACTCAAGCACCACTCTCAAGTGTTCCTTGTGCTCCTCCTCCGAAGGTGAATAGATCAGAATGTCGTCCACGAAGACGACTACAAAACGATCTAGAAATTCCCGGAATATCCGGTTTATCAAATCCATAAGCACTGCCGGTGCATTGGTGAGCCCAAATGGCATCACCAGAATTTCATAGTGGCCATACCGCGTACGGAATGCTGTCTTCGGAATATCCTCCTCCCTGACTCTCAACTGATGATAACCCGATCTCAAGTCTATCTTCGAGAAACAACGGGAACCCTTCAACTGATCGAACAGATCATCTATACGAGGCATAGGGTACTTATTCTTAACCGTAGCCCGATTTAATCTCCGGTAATCGATACAAAGTCTCAAAGCACCGCCTTTCTTTTTAACAAAGAGGGCTGGTGCTCCCCACAGAGAAACACTAGGACGGATATAGCCCTTATCTAGCAACTCTTGGAGCTGAATCTTCAACTCAACTAACTCGGCTGGGGCAAAACGGTAAGGTGCCATAGAAATTGGCGCCGTGCCGGGCACTAGGTCAATAGAGAACTCAATCTCTCGATGCGGTGGCAAACCAACAAGATCCTCGGGAAAGACGTCCGAGTACTCACAAACCACCCTTGGCAACACAATCTGGGTCTCATCACACTCACCACTCTTAAAGCTGGCAAGTAGACCACTAAGCTCACCCCGCCCTCGCGGATCATAACCCGATGACAAAACACTACCAATCCGGTCCCCCAGAAAATGAAAACACTCCCCGCTCAAGGTACATAGTGTGACCCTCTGGCGGTAGCAATCGATAACTGCTCGGTATGACGATAACCAGTCCATACCCAAAATAACATCAAAGCCCTTCATGGGCATAACTTCGAAAGGAAACGGAAGTCTATGTTCGGCGACCTCTATATCACAACCTCTAACACCTTGTTTCAAGATCAATTCACCCCCAAGAGGTGACACTACACAAATAGGAGATGCTAACTGTGCTAACTCCAACTCCAAAACAGATGCAAATACAGCAGACAAAGGAATGAGATGCACCCGTATCAATTAAAACACTAGCAACCGAATTGCAAAACAAGAAGGTACCTCTCACAACCGATGGAGCCGGTACAAGATCCTGCACGGTAACAGCGTACACGCGCCCAGATGGTCTCTGATCAACCTGCTCACCCCTAGGAGCATAAGACTGCTGCACAGACTGGGACGATGAAACCCCCTGATTGGCCCTCGAGGCCTGAATCGACTGAGCTGGCTGTTGACCCTGAGTCTGCCTCAAACCAGATGCACCAGATGTGCCACTCAACTGCGGGCAATACCTCTTCATGTGCCCTGGCTGACCACACTGATAACACGAGAGTGGCTGGCCTCTACCCTGACTCTGGCTCTGGGATCGAGCCGAAGAAGATGCTGCTCTTAGTACTCCTCCCCTCTGCGGGCAAACCGGAGACTTGTGGCCCAGCTGACCACACTTGAAACAGGTAATGTCTCCCTGACTGCCTTTCCCCGAACCAGCACTCGGCACTGGAAAAGTTGATCTAGAAAAGCTACTCTGAGACTGTTGAGGAGTGAAACCTCTCTGTCTCCTTCCATCACTCTGGCCATCCTGACTCCTCTTGGAGCCTTTCTGCCCTTCCTCCTCCTCCTGCATCATGATCTCCATATAGGCTGCAGCATCAACCATACACCCATAATCCCGAATCATAGATCCTCTAACTCTCAGCTTGAGGCCACGCCTCAACTTCTTCTCAAACTCAATACAACGGCGTTCCTCAGACGCCACCAACTCAGGTGCAAACCTGGATAAACTAGTAAATGCAGCCTCAAACTCGGCCACTGAAGAACTCGACTGCTTAAGCTGACAGAACTGGTCTCTCAGCTTTTCTCTGACAGCTGGAGATAAAAACTTCTCCTGGAAAGCATGTACAAAAGCCTCCCACGTACCTCCTATACGACCCTTTGTGAACTTCCACCACTAACCCGCATCCCCTTTCAGCTGGAACGATGCCAAGGTCACTTTCAACCCCTCATCTTCGATGCCAAGCATCTCAAACGTCTTCGTTGTCTGTTCGAGCCATTCATCTGCCTTAAGTGGCTCTTTAGGATCATCCACAAATTCATCCGGGTTAGACCGGAAGAACTCCCTCTTCAGAAAGGAAGGTCCTGCATCCGCAACAACAACCTGGGCTTGATTCTCAGCCCTAAGAATGCCTACTGACTCCCTGAATGCCCCCG